CCACGCTCAAAATATTTTGATTGTCCTGAATGGATTATTTTGGAAATTGTATGTAGAGAGTCCTGATAAGGCTGTTCCTTTTCTGAGTGCTGTCTCAACTTGTTTAAAAAAAAAAAAAGAGATAAAAAAGAAAGCTAAAGGACTCATATAATTTTGTGATATGCATATTGGAAACATGGGGAAGTGAGACTTCAGGAGTATTTCTAATGCAAGAGAGTATACAAATTAGCTGGGCATCATGAAAATAATGGATTGGAGAGATTAATTTTTCATCCCACTCAGACACACCTCACTGAATAAGGCAAGTTCCTGCATGTACAACATTGAATGTAATCTGTTTTTTCATCTATTTATAGCTAGGAAAAAAGTGCAGATTCAGGTGTAGACCAATGTTTGGCCTTTTCCCAGAGTTCTGTGAAGACTTAGCAAATGAAAGGTTTAAAAGTTCATTAAGCAATTAGTAAAACAGTTTCATAATCAAAAAAATCATACAACATAATTTAAACCAAGCCACAGAATAATTTGGATGGTGAATTAGTACATCTGGAGCTTGGATGAATGGCTACACCAAAGGTACACACACTTTGCATTTCAGTAGTAATAAAGAACCTGTAATATCTTGATTTTTCATTTACTATGTTATTGCAAGATAAATATAGTGTCTGAGCTTTGACGTAAATACAGACTCTAATAATAGTGTAAATACAGACTCTAATAATAGATAATGTGGTACATTATCTATAAATTATCAGTGCCCTAAACATTTTGCACGGAACTATACAGTGGGGTACTTTCCATGGTTTTTTCAGATACTGCGATTCTCATAGCCTCATATTTGGACAATGGTCTAACAGGACATGTATTTCTGATGTCACCACCAGCATATCCATTTATCCAATTGCATGAGTTAGTATTTTGCATTAATGAAATAGTATGCAGTGGCACCACTAAAGGTCCTCATGAGGAATTTCAGGAGTTCAAGTTCTTTTCATTTATATACTGCAGTAACTTAGAGATCAGTGCTCCCATATCAGTAACTTGAGGCTTAGTCATGGTTCCTTTATTTTGTCTTTCACAGGAGCATATTTTCTTTACATTGTTGGGGTGGGCAAAGGACATACTACAGGTTTTTTTTCTGGGATTAGTGTGTGAGAAAACATCAGTCAGGTATCTGAGATTCACCATGCTTCATTAGAAAATCCCAAAACTTATTCTGAGAAAGCTCCCATAGAGTTAAACATAAGGTTCAAATATTTTGAACAGGTAAGCATAACTATAAATCATAATCTGATAGTTCCAAAACCAATTAATTTTTCATATTCTATTTCTTGCTTAAAATGTGGTATTTTTGCATGTTTGTTATTTGCAGTTGCACTGAAATTGTTTCAGTCAATGAGCTTTTTCTGAAAAATACCATCAGTAATCACACATTGACTACCTGCAGCAGAAAATGTTTGTTATGTGTTGTACTTTTCTTTCTCCAATTTAATAGGAAATTAGGAGGATGAATTCTGCCCCACAATCTAACTCAATAGAGTAAATAATGATACTTGATACTTCAAAAGAGGGGCTGTCTTAATGCATTAGTCTCAAGATCACTCCTTGAAGCAGTTATAACTGATTGTGTGAATAAAGACAATCAGTTTCAGCAGGGACATGAATTACAAAGTTGTGCTCATACACTGGTATTCTTGTATTACTAAAGCTTACTAATCTTCAGTGAACTTTATAACCTGAAATGTCTTGAATGAAGTCTTTTATAAAATGTAACTATTTTTCCATATCTAAAATTCACTTTAAAAATGTAAGTACATGTTCTTCTTCCTAAACCCCTTCATTCTTTCATCAAATGTGCTTGCTTTAAATTCATTGCTTTTTCCACTGTATAAACTAGGTGGATTTGAATACTTACAGGAAGAATCTAAAGCATTTGGTTGTTATTAGTGTGGAGATAGCTGACTCACACATGCAAAAAATTAAAGAAACTTACAAATGTTCAAGTGATTTTTGTTTTGTTTTGGGGCTGTACAGCACCAAACCACATCCTGTAGTACAATGGATCTTTTCCCTTTTCATTTTTATTGTGCAGTATCATTTCAGGTTAATAAAACAAACAAGGACAATACTCTTATTCTCTATTCTCCACATTTTATTATTTTTATTTAAATATAACATACTATACATTGTTATTCAGTGATTTTTGTTTCCCTTTTCTTTTTTAAATCTATCCCCATTTTCCTTTTGCTCAGGAGTCTGTTATGCTGAGGGTGACAGAAAACAGAGCTTATGATTGACGATCTGTGATACTCTAGATAGAGTGTCTGCAGTTTGCTCCCACTACAGTGGGTATTACAGTATACCAAACACACAGGAATCATTGATTCCTTCGAGGTTTTTTTATTTTGGTTAATTTTCAGAAACCACTATTCATGTCACAAGTGGCTCCTCACTCACTTTGGAAAAGTGATATTTCCCAATTCTGGCCTCGGAGCAGCATTGTATTTTGAGTACTATTGTAGTATTTATGCATAATCCCTCCCCGACCAAGTCTTCTAGGTAATTCTGTCAAAAGAGAATTTAATTTGTACCCTAAATGTTCTTTAAGTGGTCATCCAATACTGCATTCACCCATGCTCACATTGAATGTTCACTGCGGGTGATCCATTATGTCTTGTCAGTTTTAATTATTGATTACAAATTTTAAACAGCATAAACTTGCTTTTATCATTGTAGTTAAGTTTTGCTGTGACCTGCAATTACCTTTAAAATCTGAAATTCTTATTTCCCTTTCTAGAAAAACCTCATTTGTGAAGAAGCAATCTGGAGCTAAAGCACCATGAAATACAATGTCAGCTACCAGTTAAAATGTTGTCTCTCAATGAATTCCTGGTTTTAAAACAGTTGGATTTAGTTAAGGACAGGAAATATAATCTGACCATTTTGTATCTTATGGGAAAGCTATTATTTTTTGCCTTTTTTAAAAAAAGCTAATATTTAAATAACAGATTAAGATTGAAGTGCTGGTTAAACATTGACTTAAATAAGTTACAGAAGATTCCAACAACACCAGCCTTTACAGAGGTTAAACTTTCTCAAAAAGACACATTAAGCAAGGCTCTCCTTTGTACCAAAATACAGTTTCCAAACAATAAAAATAAACCCAACATCTTCACAACAAGAAATATTGAAGATAAAACTGCAGCATCAATATAATCTCATAGTTATCACTTAAAGTATTTAGAAAAAAATAATATTATACTACTTTTGTTTCTTACTAAAGACACTGCAAAGGCTTATTTATTTAATTAGTGGAATACAATGTGAAGACAGTGGTACAAATTGTTTGACTTACTGTTTTCTATTTATCTGCTCTAACAAAATGAATCTCAATATGGTTACATTGGTGAGCTATCCAGAGCTCTCTAAAATTACAGAGTAAAGCAAAACATAAAACAATCCTTATGTACCTTTAATTGAACAGACTTCATATTACGCTTAACTTTGTTATACTGCAGTTGCTCAAGTTAAGCCATGGGACTAGTAACACTTCATAAAAATGTGCTGGATATTATGTATTTTGAGCCTTCAGTTACTATGATGGTTATGAAAGGCATGCTAAAGCTGGATACCAGCACAGCTTTTTGGTTGGCTCTCATATATAATACACATGTGAGTAATAATCTCTGATAAACGCACGAGCACGGTTTTGGATCTCCTGTCCCTCAGTCCTTACCTAGGTATTGCTACCACTATATGCCCGTGATTCTACAAGCTGGTAACATGGACAAATGTGCTGAATGGGCATATTAACTGAATAAGGAGTGCAGGACTGTATTGCCTTCTTACTTACCTTTCAGAGGCCAAATTTTACACTTGGGAATGACACACTGTTTAATTTTAACATTTGCAATCTTAGTGACTTTAACAGGGCTGTCCACATCTAGGTTCCAGCCCAATGCCTGCTGCAGAATATCACACTGATTGCAATGCATTAGATCTCAGTTCCAAATTGAAATCAAAGTCAGAACAATATACACACAGATGCCTTGACACCCAAGTACAGATGTGGCCCCTTCTCTCAATTTCAAAATAGCAGAAAGACCCTTTGAACAAAGTATTTCTTGAAGTTTGTTCTTGAGTGCTAAGTAAAAAAATTTCTCCAACATAAAGACACCCAATACCACAAATCCAAGCACTGCTTGTTTGGTCTTTTTGCTTAAGTGCAAGACAGTTCAGGAAAAAAATGGATTATACACATTAAATTCTGCCTTTAAAGCCTTGTCTAATACCTATTCTCAGAGTCCTTCTGAGGTTTTGACATTTTAACCTATAAACCTCTATGTGAAGTACTGAGAAAAGGGGAAAATAACAAAGAAGCAAATGAGGAAAACATTTCAAATCAAAAAGATATTTAACATCCTATTAAATAAATAAGTTAGAGAGAAATAAAAATGAATGAAGTTAGAACATACAAGCAAACCATACTATTCGTTTTGTTAGAACAGTTTTACACTACTTTGCTTATATTCCTTAATCCTATCCATTCTTCCACAAGGCTTCTCCAGAAATGTCATTATTTGTGCATATGACCCAAGTGCTTCCAGTAAATGCTTGTGTGTCTAACTGTTCATTGGATCATTAGGCTTGAATGAGCAATTAAGGTCTTTGATATGAGTTAGTATTCCATAAATAGCTTTCCCCATGAAGATCATTCAACAGATTGTCTCACGTTGCAGAGATAAAAAAAAAATTGTTCACACTGGCAATAACTTCAATCCCCTTTGATCCAGCTTGTGTCTTGATTATAAGATATGACACCAAACTAAATGAAAGTATTTCATGTGCCAGCAATGAGTACAAAACCTTCAGAGGCTTCCCCTGCTCTCTTTTCAAACAAGCAGATGTCTGCACTATTTCTTTGCATTTAGTCTTCAAGATTACCAAATATTCTTGACATAACAGCCTTTGGTTCAACTGCATCAATAAAATATTTCCTTCATCTATGACATCACTACCATTGGAAGAAAGTGAGCTGAAGTGTTTTTTCTTCTTGTTTTCTGTCCTCTCTTTGTGGCTCCCCTGCCATTCAGTGCCACAAACATTTGCCTTCCATTGTGCTTCCAATTTAAGGATGCGTATGTGTTATATCCATTTTCTTCTATTCTTTCCTTCAATTTGCAATCACTGTTAAACTCCTTCTGTTAAAAGAAGAAAACAAATACACAAATTCAGAATAAACATAAGCTTTCAGAGTTGCAGTATACTGAAGGTAAATAGTTTCTAAAAATGTTTTGGAAGATTTCAGTGTTCTGTATGTGACATCTTTTTAGGATTCTACAGTGTATTTAAATAAAAGTTTCACTGTGTCCACAGCATTTAAAACAACATTAGTTAGACTGCAAAAAGTGAAACCAACAAAAGACATAACAAATTATTCAGTGCATAATTATAGCATTGAAACGATATAATTTGCTCACAGCTGAAATTAAACTTCTCTGTGTTGGAATATAGCAGCAATATTAAATCAAATTCTCAGTCATGAACTCAAAGTATGAGGTAGCAATCTTAGAATCATAGAATCGTTTAGGTTGGAAAAGACCT